CAGTCAGGATGGCCAACAGCACCTTGTCATGCATCCACAGATGCATCTTAAGCAGGGCCAAAGAGGTGATCCTCCCCTTCTGTGCGGCACTGGTCAGGCCGCAGCTGGAGGACTGCATCCAGTTCTGGGTGCCGCACTTCAAGAGGGATGTGGACAACATGAAGAGGGTCCAGAGGAGGGCCAGTAGCATGATCAGGGGGCAGCAGGGCAGGCCCTGCGTGGACAGGCTACGGGACCTGAACTTGTTCAGCTTCCATAAGAGAAGGCTGAGGGGGGGATCTAGTGGCCTGTTAAAACTAGTCAGAGGGGACCAGCAGGCATTGGGGGAGTCCCTGTTTCCCCGAGCACTACCAGGAGTGACTAGAAATAATGGTCACAAGCTGGCAGAGGGTAAATTCAGATTAGACATCAGGAAGCACTACTTCACTGTCAGGGCGGCTAGGATCTGGAACCAAGTTCCAAGTGAAGTGGTGCTGGCTTCTACCCTGGGGGTCTTTAAGACAAGGCTTGACAGTCACCTTGCTGGGGTCATTTGACCCCAGTACTCTTTCCTGCCATGGCAGGGGTTCAGACTTGATGATCTGCTCAGGTCCCTTCTGACCCTACTAACTATGAAACTATGAAACCACGTTAGTAACAGCTGCTTTAAACAAAAACTCAATGTGATGCTAATGCTATTTGAGTTGAACTTTAATGCATTCTTTTTTATGATTCAGGTGAGAAATGTACCACAAAATATTTCCATTGCTGCAGAATGTATTGCCAAAATTAAAGGGATTCCAGTGGAAGAAGTTATAGAAGTAACAACAAAGAATGCATTGAAACTTTTTCCCAAACTTCAGAACTTCTTTTAAAAATAGACTCAGCATGTGTAATTACAGTATGTCCCAAAAGGTAATACATGTGTGTAATAAAAATGCCTGTATTGTTCGAAATGGATGGTTTTGTTATCAAATAGTTCAGGAAATGGGTGTTATAATAGATATGATGGATTTATCTAAGATCTTGTTCTGCTGTTAATTTGACAGCACCTTATGCATAGTTAGCTTCAATGTTATTTTGTATATTAAGTTACACCTTGATCCTCAAAGGCAGTATGCACTACAGGACAGGTGACTGGTGGGGTGGGGAGAGGGGACGGGGCATATGCACCCCTTGAGATTGGCCCCTGACTCAGCACTGCTCAGGACAGGGCAGTTTTTTTGCCACGCGGGCCGGCAGCGCCTTGGGTGTGGGGGGGTTGCGCACTAAGCCAAGGCACGGAAGTATAGGAGTGGATATAGGGCTTTTGGCCTGCCCACCAGTCACCCCTGCACTACAGCATTTTTATCTTACTCAGAGTCTGTTGACGTCACTACAGCTGCAAAACACAGGTGCTTAAATCTGCTTTTGAGGTTCTGATGGCAGGATCAGGGCCTAGTTTAGTTTTTCCAGCTGTTTCATAGTTGTTAGGGTGGGAAAAGACCTCAATATATCATCAAGTCTGACCTCTTGCCCTGGGCAGGAAAGAGTACTGGGGTCATATGACCCCAGCTAGGTGCTTGTCCAATCTTCTCTTAAAGACCCCCAAGGTAGGGGAGAGCACCACCTCTCTTGGAAGCCCATTCCAGATTCTGGCAACCCTTACCGTAAAGAAGTTCTTCCTGATATCCAATCTAAATCTGCTCTCTGTTAGTT